TGTAATTAATATTCTTTGAGGCCACACCCTCGCTACCGATGGCCGAGGGGTCTAGGCGTTCGCCTCGAGAGGCGAGGGTTGGGGGATCGATCCCCGCTCCTAACGCCCTATCTCATCCCGCGGGACTGACGGATCGTACACTTCTACATTTCCCATGTCTTTATGCGCCAAAGTCAAGGATACAGCAACGGCCAAGAGGTTGGCAGCAGGAGACAGACACAATCAAAAGACGGCCTAAGGCTTACAGATGTCAGGGAAGCTTTGGGCAACGGAAATCTAAGCGAATGCCTCGAGACTTTAGAAAACAGTAACCTGGTCGAATTTAACGGTACTACAGTTAACAGAAAACTAAGCTACTGCTTTGAAGCAAAGGTAAAGCTAATGTCTAAGTTTCGAAGTGAGACTCAGCCTTTGTAGAAGTTGTTCTAAGCGTTTCGTTTGCTGGAAGATTGGTCTTTTTAGCCTCGTATGCAGAACTGGTAGTGTCGAAGTCCACGTTCTGCGAAGGTGGTGTTGTCAATTGGTGACGATGCGAATATTGCTGTCTGTAATTCAATATTCTAAAATCCGGCTGACTGCAGGAGCATCCAGAGTGCAGAAATCTCGAAGAATATTAACCCCTCAGAGGACGAAAATTTGAAACCAAATTCGAAACGCGCGCGAAGGCCTTCGGGCAACACTGCCATTGCCTATAGTGAAATTACCGATTTTTTGGCATTATAGGTTGCTGAAGATAGTGCTGTTAAATGGCATATGACGTCTTTTCCGTCTTGCTAGAGATAATTTGGTCAAATAAAACCAAATTTGGTTGTGTCTATACAAAGAGCATTAACTTAAGACGAGCCTTTCTAAGAATTTGTTCATTCAAATGAAAGAGTCGAGGAGCATTCTGGTGAAGAGGGCAAACCAAACACAGCGCACCCCACCTAGGGCATACCGGCATGACCCCCCCTATCCCACAAGTACCCGGACTCCTACTAGCACTAAACGTCGCCTGCCTTCCACCCGAAGGTAGATGTGGAAAGTTAGAATAAAAAGCTTACCCTACACATCATACTGAATCGACTGCTTTCATCCGCAATGCATAATTTTTTGAGAGCCAAATGTCGAGAAGTTAGGAAACGTCGACCACGCGCAAGCCGGCGGCCGCATGTTAGTTTACATTCTGCATAACAGTTCTGAAACATGAAAGACAAAACTATGGTCACTATGGTGTAATTCATCAACCGACTAAGCAGGTTTAACATACTTAGCCCCATAGCATCAACAAGGTGAGGAAGGCCCTAATAGAAAACAGGAGGCGTCATTCAGGACATTGGTTTAATGCAGGTGCGGAACGCTAAGACAAACAACTAGGGAAGCTAACTAGCAGGTAAACAGTGACAGATAAATAATGGGAGAGTGTGAGAGTGGATGAAGCCTGAAATACTTTGCTTGTGGAAGTCGTTATGCCTTCATTTGTAAAAGATTTTAAAATGAAACTGGATCTCTACTGCAGTGCCAATCGACCGCTGCCGTCTTGACGACTCATGTTGAACAACTAGCACCGTTATGATGCTACTGCAAATGTTTGAGTAACGCCTGTTTCTAAAAATTTACTACTGCATTAACCACGGCGCATATCTCCACTGACATTCTCCAAGATGCTTGCAGACAGAAGACCATATAATACTGAAATGGAATACTGAACCTGAAATACTTCGATGTCCTATACAGCCTTTGATATTTCCTTTGTAGTTTTTGGCATTCATCCCCTCCAACTTTTCTCGCAATTTTTCCCTGCGTGTAACGATTAGGGACTTTATAGGCGCACACATAGTTTCCTCAAATAAACTAAACTCAACTGATAAAAGTGACGGTTATGTAGGCCAGAGTTTTCGAAAGTTGTAATTTTTTATCAGTGTTAACAAGTGATGTGACAAACGACCACCACTTGCCGCACTGTTCGTCCGCACGATTCCAATATGACAAAACAGCCCGCGGGGCAAAGACCCACTGCAGAAAATGAAGATAGGGGACCATTTCACCAGACGATAAACTGCAAGCCATAGAACGCGGAGTCAGGCAGACCGCTGTTCATTTGGATGCCACCTCTCATGAGCATTTTGGACTTTTGGAAATGAAAGATGCAGACGTGATCCAGCGAATGACCTGCTTTGTCCACGACTGCAATGAACGAACCTAGATGATTGCCACCCCCCAATGATAGCAGGGATTGCGGCTTAAATGCGTATCGCCCACGAAACATGGGTAAGTGGGTGATGTTGTCCGCGTCATCATTGACATACGAGATCGCCCGCTATATAACTCGCGTTAAGAGATGTTTATCGCATCGTTTCGCCATCGCCATCATTGATTAAAGAAATCAAGCTATGCAAAATTAGTTCGAAATACTACTGACCCCTTTTCCTGTCAGGATTCTGTACTGAGGTCGGATGTTTCTTCAGCCATTTTCTTGAAAGTTTATGACGCAGCGGATGACCTGTGTTAAATTCGCAGTGGTTCATTGGTTTTGACAATTCTCTGTCTTCCGATCGCGGCTAGCTCTGTACATGCTGACCATTCAATGCCACATTTTAAGAAGCAACAAACGACAGGCGAGTCAACTAAAAACATGCTGTTCACTTTTGTCACACATGCTACCGCTGAGTTTAGAAAAAGCCCTGCATTGAGTCAGTTGTATAGAACCCCACCACGAGCTACCGCATGAATCTGTGATTTTCCCTTTGCAGGGCGAAAAAAACAATTTCGACATATCGGTCAGTTTTATGCTTTTGATTTAAAATGCTGTTCGGTTGTAAGCCCAGGATCTTTAGATTATGATCCCACCTCAACGCTCTTATTGCACCCATCTTCGCTTATCTGCAACGTCCATTCCGTGTGTTCGTATGCACATGCTCCCTAACTGTGTGCATAAAAAGCATGGTTCGTTTTCAAATATTTTATTCATCCACACCTTGTTATAACCAAGCAGCAAAATACTATACACACATATAAGGCATATAAATTGTGCTGAGATTGGGGTCATGTGAGGGCATATGAACAGCTAATAACACTGTTTCAATTTGCATTTCTGTCCGACGCCGCATTTTGAGCAAGAAGAACTGTGCAGCTACGGCATCCTGCCTCTCCATTTCCCCTTGCAGTTTTAAGAAGAACGGAGACATTCATCAGAACAAACACTTTTTTCCACGTGATGCCTTTTTCTACACGTCCTTTCATCTGCGAAACCATTTAGGTCAGTCGTCTAAAAATGCGCTCAACCGTCGCTCAACAGTCGGCGCGCGTCTCTCTCGGTGTGCATTAAAAATTAAGGGCAGACATGCTGCCTAATGAAGTTTCAAATGAAATCCAAAAAGTGTACGAAATTCAAAATACTACTTTAGAAGTGTTGATATGATAGTAATATTCGTAAAGGATAATCTCAAGCTACTTCACTCAGTTCGGGATGCGAGAACTTGAGCGAAGTTATTTTGGGCCGACTGCAAAGGATGCACACTAAAAATGCGCGCTTATGCAGTGCGAATCTTTCCCAGTGTTTTTCGATGCTTTCAGAGGTTCAAGCATGATTTCCTTGGAAGAATGCCCGAAGGCATTATTTTATGTATGCAGTTAGTGACCTAACTCATGAAATGGGTCGAAATTTACGAATGATTGCCAATCACTCGCAAACGGGCACCATTTATTGAGTCCAATGTCTATGTAGATAAAGTACAAATTTAAAAGAATTAAAAACATAAAAGAAATCTTATAGGCAGTGTTAAGTTGTTTAGAAATGACGATTTATTTTGAGAAGCGCAATATCCCAAAAACGTCAGAAATGTCTCCAATTTAGTAAACTTCGTTTTTAGATGTATAGAACGTATTCTCATACCCAACACGTAATAAATATGAAGGTAGACATAAAATAATGTATAATTACAGTGTTTTATTGAAGTTTACCTCTAAATATCGTTTAACCAGTAGTGTGACATCATGTATGACGGTTTGTCAACTGCCTACATTCTGGGTGTAGATTCCAAAATAGTTTTCCTGTGTTTAATAATTTCCTTGACTATTTGGAATTAAATGAGATAGGGTTCCGCGACAGAGTTGCCTTGCCCCCAGCTGCACCAGACACCGCAAACGACTCCGGATGCGTCCTCATGATCTGGCTAATAAATCTCCTGTTCCAGCGATCGTTTCTCCTTCTTTGCAACTACTTCCTGGAACTCGCCTCTTCGCTTCGAAGAGCAGAGCATGGACCCTGGTCGTAGAGAACCTCGTCCACCCAACGGGCCACCTGTTGGATGCGCTAAACCAACATGGGGGCCATATCGGATTCCGGCAGGCGTTATCGGATTGCGCACCAAAACAAATGCCAAAATTTGGGGGACCCGATGGCAGACCCGGTTGCCGGCAGACGCCGCGCACACTGCGACCCCTGCGACCCCCGCCATTGTTGTTGGTTAAAATCCTGGTCATTTGGTGTGTGAACCAGGGGGTGTGGAGGGGAGCACCAAGATGCGGGCTCGATCGTTTCGTTCCCCTGCGCCTCCCCCCACCATCAGTCTTCTTGACTTTGTCTTGACACTGAGTCTAAGTGGGAGAGAGTGCGGTAGAGGGGTGCAAGTTTACCACCACCATAAAGTAATTCATGCACAAGTCACCGTCCCTCCTCCACCTTACTGTGGATCACACGGGGGACATCGTCGGCAACGGCAGTCAAACACATAGATAGCCGCTTCCGAGCCTGCATATGCCTGGTAGTGAGAAGATTCCCGTCAGTTCAGTAGGCGTTGCGTATCCCGGGCGCTCGTCACAGCAGGTGTCCATCAGCATGGCAGGGAACATTAGACTCAAGAGGGTAGGCTCGAGCACGCAATCCTGCTTCACTCCACTGGTCACTGTGAATGCCTCGGAGATTGCGCGTTGTCTGTAAGGCGCGCCAACATCCCGTCGTGAAGCTGACGTGCCATGTGTGTGAATCGTTCAGGACAGCCGCATTTCTGCCCGATTTTTCATAGTCCCGTGTGATTCGCCGTATCAGAGGCTTTCGTCGAGTCCACGGAGGAGGTGTAGAGGGCGGTTCGCATATCCCGACACTTCTCTTCCAGCTGGCGATCGGCAAACACCATGTCAGTGGAGCCCCGGTGTCGTTGGAAACCACGCTGACTTTCCGGCAAGACTCCTTGCTCGAGATGTCCGTTAAGGCGATTGAGGAGGATAGGAGTAAAGATCTTCCCGGCGATGTTGTATGGTGAAATGCCCCTGTGATTGTCGCAGACCTGCCGGCTACCTTTGCGTTTGTAGAGGTGAACAATGGTTGTGTCCTTGAAGCGGTGACGAACCTGCACACAGAGCCGCACCCCTCGAAATAGCGTCGTGAGTTGGACCACCAAGCGGTGACCGCCGTGGGGTAAGGATTCGGTCAGGATTGTGTTGGAGTTTAATGCTTTCACGCTAGAAGGTCTTTGCACGGCACAAAAAGCTTCTGAAATGGAGGGCGAGAGGTTCAGGTCGACGTTGATTTCCAGTTGCGGAAGCCGGTGGATGTTGGCGTCGGCGATTTTGGAGGAAAGATTTAGGACCTTTCTGAAGTGCATGACCAAGCGTTTCAGAATCTGCCTCTCCCTTGTCAAAAGCACTGACCAATCGTAGCTGAGATGCGGGTGCAGTTCCTTTGGTAGGGGTCAGGAAAGAATTTCTTTGAGTCATGGCGGACGGCGTATGCCTGGGTCTTCTCAACCTTGCAAACCATCTAGGAGTCTTGCATTTCTTACGACCGTTTCTGATCTAGGTGGCGACATTGGTAGATGGCCGCTTTGTTCGTATCGGTTGAGCGGTCGAGGTAAGCCTTATGTAAACTTTTCTTCTTGCCAACCGGGTTACTGATAACTGCTTCGTTGTCGTCGAATCAGTCCTGGTGGTGGCGATGTGCGCGACCGAGGACTGTCAGGGCGGTCGAATGAATTGCGTCCGTAGTCGGCAACAGCAAGTCTGCTGCTAGTAGGTCTTCTAGCAGCTTGATTAGTTGATTGCTGAAATGCAAATTGTGATCAGGAAAAGACAACAAACCGGTATTCAATTTGCCAACCCTTTCCTCCAGGTAACACAGTCTGTTCGGACGGGAGTATTTAAGTTACCAAGGAATATTCCCCTATCCACCTTATCCACAGACGTCAGAGGAACGTGCAGGTCCTCATAAAACTTTTTCTTCTCCTTGTCTGGCCCGGTCATTGCTGAGGCATAGGCCCTAATGATGGTAGTGAATTCACCTCCTCGGATAGACAGACGGAGGCTCATTGGGCGATCGTGGATGCCTTGCAGCAGACAGGGCAGTCTTCCCCCAATATCGGTTTCGATCGTAAAGGCGACTTCCGCGTCACGTCGCTCTGCCTTGAGGCGACCGATCCAGAAGGTGTAACCAACGCTCATCTTCTCCGGTTGGCATTGTTCGGAGAACCCAGTGTTGATGAGTGCAGCAATTTCTACGAAGTAGCTCACCATTACCCAAACGACTAGCCCCGTCCTTCGTTCCATTCAGTTGCTCCTCGGATTATCTAAAAGGGAGCGAACTTTCCAGGCTGCCAGAGTGAGTGGACGCACGCTAGCTGTCTGTGGGGGAGGAGGAGGAGGAGGAGGAGGAGGAAGAGACAGTTTATTGTTTTGTGTTTTGACTGTGCATGTCAATTAATCTGCAAGCCACGGTCTGCGCGTAGATGTCGTGAACCCAGTTTTCTTTAGGGTACAGTAGATGTGCTAACTCATGAAATGTCAACCAAAATTTCGAAATGCGTTCTCGTTTCGAAAATATAAATTAAGTAGTGTTGTAGAGCTAATCATTATGCAGCATAAATCGATAATGATCCAGTTACCTCAGGGTGTCGGCTTTCGAAAGAACTTATATTTGGCTGCATGCATGATCTATAATCTTCAAAAAATGACTACTTAAAAAGCATGAAATTTTCTCATTGATTTTCAACGCCCTTGAAAATTTAATTATATTTCATGGAAAACATGCATAAAAATATTCATTCTTTTACTTATTCGGTAGAAAATCACGTCTTCTTCCAATTTTACACTCGAAGGAAGAACAAAATTCGGTTTTCAAAAACTTTTCTCATTCCCAAATAATTTTGAACCCGACCTGCTGTTACACTTGCATTCAGGGTTTCAAAACTGCAAGGTGTATATTATCCGTGTACGGAAAACCATGCATTTCTCTACGGTGTTAAGAGGAGACCATATGAGGTTCATAAAATTAAGCAGTGGATTTGAGCAATATTGTTATCTTTACAAGCCAAATTCGTAAATGCAGACACATGACGTTTCATGAAC